AATAAATATATGTAAGTTTTAGAGAAATTCATTCGTAAACATTCATAAGTTAATTCGAATGAATTCACTTGTTGAAGTAAACTATTCAGCTATTCTTCTTGTTGATATAAATGTTCTCCTTCGCATTTATATCGTTCTCTTTCTTCATTGATTCATCAAGCACCATAGAAAGTTAAGCAGAAGTGTATTTGTAAAATGGCTCCATATCAGTTTCTTAATGATATTTTCTTTCGCATCTGTCCAATTGGCTGCCAGGTCTCATGAGTAAAAATCCCATTTGCCTCTTGTTGATAGACATGTTTCCCGTCACATTTATATTGTTCTCTTGCTGTCATTAATCCTTTAGAAACCATAGGAAAATAACAGAAGTGCATACTTAATGGACTCAATTCTATTACTACCCTTTTCAGTATGTCGAAAACTCCGAAGAAATTTTAGCATCTATACCAGTGCAGAAATTACAAAATTAGGTTAGTGGCACGGGAACTCAAAATGAGAAATATAAAAATCTATCTTCATTAATTTATTCACAAAAAAACTCATCAACTCTAGAAGCTGCACACTATTATTTTGTTGAAGAGTGAATTTTTTAAGCAAGTAAAATTTCATCCTATGACTATCAGACGGTATAACTTAAATCTTGCAAAAGGCTGGGACCAAATGTGAAGATCATAATGTGCAAGATTATGAATATTTTATAAGATACATGAATAAAATACTTCATTATTTAATTTTCATAGGCCAATGTTTTTATCGTTACCCGAAGCAGAGTCCATAGGCTTCCAGTTCTGGCTAATGGGGGGCATAATATCTGACAGCCAAAAGAAAATGTAAAAACTAAGTTATGAACTACTAAAGCCATGTTGAAATGTTGTGATAATTAAAAACATAAATATGAAGCAGCTATAAATGGAGAATTTCATCTTCCTATGCTACGTACAAAGTTCAATCATGCATGGTGCTCCAGTTATTATCCAAATTGAAATGAATAATGTAGTCAAGAAACTTTATCGAAAATTATCACTAACCTTTTTTTGATAAGAAAATATGTCTATAAAATGTTTGATAATACTGCTAAATATTACTTGTTGGGTATTTTTTGTGATGCCCAAATAATCCCTAGGCGATGATGAAAAATTGTGGCCCGTTTAACTTCATAGGCTATAAGCCCGGGATTGAAGAATGTTGAAATCCATACCACAAACGTTTGTAGCCCAAATCTTATGGGGTATTTGGAGGAAATCAGCCCATTGGGCTAGCTGCTCAATACCCAGTTAAGGAAATGATTTTTTTGAGTGAAACCCTATTTCTTACCTCCTTCACGGTTTGAAACTCCTCCTATCTCTTATCTTCTTCAAGCTTTGAAACTCTTATCATTATCTTTGAACTCAATCTTGAAGAGATTTTCTTGGAATACGTTTGTGTGTCTGGCCTATAAAAAGGAGTCATTGGTCCTCATTTTAGACACACAAAAAAATAATTCTTGCTTTGTGCATAAGAAGAAGTAAAGAACGGTTCTTTGCTTTGTGCTTAAAACTGTCATGCTTTGTGTTATTCCTGAAATCTGCTTCTGTTCTTCGTGCTTTGGTGTGCCCTTCGAATTTTCTCTGGATTTGATGTTGCCTTTGTGATGGTGGATCAGATTTTCTGAGCCTAATAAAAGGGGAATTCATCGTTCTTTATTATTCTTCTCATTTAGTTTTCTAATTTGATTTCCTTTATTAGTTAATTCCTTAACTTACTTGTTTGATTTGTTCAATTGTAGGTAGAATTGGAATCACAAATTGGTATTCTTCCAGAGGATCACAAGCTTGACATTTCATGGTCATAAAAGTTTTGTTCAAACTGATGTTTCGCAATTCTGATATCAATCGCTATGACTATGTAAATAAATATGAAGTATTACACTGATTTCAATTAAAGAAAAAAACATTATCTATGCGAATGAGTTTAATGAAGCTCCTTCATAATTTTCATATAAAATATTCTCTTTTAATCCTATCAAGTTAGGTCACAAGGAAAATATGTATCCAATCATGCATCCTGTTTGTTCATCACCCCGCCCCATCTCTATTTATGGTGGCTTACGTCACTTCCTAACACTCCAATTATCTATTACCTCAGTCCTAATACAACATAACACACTGACCTTGAATGTGAGTCTGATACCTCAGGTAAGTTCCAAACGTTAATCCCAAAATACCGTATTATAAAAAAGTAATGGCATGTCTTTCTCTCAAATGATTTGAAGTTACAATATAGACACTTGGTTGAGAAATTATTTACTCCAAGTATTTCCTAATGTCAAAGTTATATAAAATATTTTATGAATGTCATGCACCTCTCTAGAAATTCAAGACACTTTTACCAAATCACGGTGTCCTAAAAATATTGTATGTGCAATTCTACTAAGATAGTCTTCAAACAGCAACCTGGATAGTTTTAGTAGATTTCTTCTTGCATGAAGCGTAGACATTCTAAAGTTCAGAGCTCATTCCTTTATAGCTTCTAAAGTTGTACTTTATGAGAGTTATCAGATATCATTAGAACGATAACAAAAACATACCGAGGTTTCTTCCAATAAACTTGGGGTTGGCTACTTAAATCCTAATTAAGACAGACATCTCTCCCCATACTAAATTACTACCCTATCTTCTAAAATATATTGGTGTGCTTATCATCCTATAAGACTCCTTAATAGTTGTAGATTTTCTGTGGTTAATAATAGTTCAAAAGTCTCATTGATATGTCCTTTTGTTCTTGTAAAAACATCATTTATAGTTTTATCTTCTCCGCAGTTAAATAACTAATTCATAGTTCTAAATTTTCCCTGATACTTGAAGCCTATCTAATTGAAAACACCATTTCTTAGTTACCCTAGGTTGAAAAGATCAATCTAACTCATATTGCATCTACAACAAAAGAACCGTAAATAAATACATTAAAATTATGGCAAGGGACAATGATCATATGGTATGACTGAAAACACCAAAAAACTTAGAGAACGGATAGAGAAAACAAGATACGTGGGTTGCCGCAACTTGATAGTTCTCCAAGTTTACCAAAAAATTATTCTCTTGATTTAGATTATTTACGTTAGATGATGACCCAGACATCCCATCTTTCTTCATTCTGCATATGAGAACAAGATGTTCTAAGTCTTTATCATTATATTCTGTCCATTAGCTATTTTAGGAAAATGCTCCAGACATAACAAACCAAAATATCAAAAAGGAAAGAGAAAAAAAAAAATCAAAACTCAAGGTCCTCAAATTAGACGAGATACGAATATGATTGATCTTCCTAAAATTCTAATTCTTGAAAAGATGGACTATAAATTCTTTTAAACTATAAGGCTTTTAATTCTTGGAGGGCTACATGAAGGACATAAAGAATGATGAGTAAAAGAGATGCTAGGTTTGTTTGATTATGATTCTAAGAGCCAAAATCCTTAGAACTTCAAGTAAAAACTCATTCCTAGAGAAATTATCTTTCTTATTATGCTGACTGTGAAAGACTCCAATACAAGTTAACCAACTCTTAAGGTCAAAAACTCATTTGAAAGCATAGGTTGAGATGATATAGCAGTATCTGAGAGTAAATACTATTTCAAGATCCCAGACCTTGGGCATCTGGGTGAGCAGAATTACTCTTAAAACATTCCATTATCTATGTAGACTCAAGAAAGAAATTTGCACCTCCTATAGTGGTAATTGGTAAATTACCCTCTTTGTAACATAAATTTTACATCTCTATATGGTTTTAAAAAATAACTCCGTGCGCGCACGGGGCACGGAGGTGCCTTTGTGTGCGACATGGAGACATCTCCGTGCAGCACTGAGAATTTTTTTATTTTTTATTTTTTTTTCTATTGGTATTTTAAAGCTATCAAACTAAAATAAAGAGAATACTTCAAAAATAAAGACAAGGCAGGTGCTTAGAGAAAAATGAAATGGACTGTAGCTCTAAAGACTTTTAAACAATTCAAATATAAATGCAATTCATGCCTTCCATATCCATCATTGAGAATTTACTTTCTGAGAGAGAAGCTCATATTGACTGGCCAAGGAAAATAAATAAGTTTGGACTTCAAGGTTTCCAAAACAAATCTCTAACTCCACAGTCATTAGCTGAAGCTATAAAATGAATTGCTCCACTGAAAAGGAAATAAGAATGCTCAGGGAGATTTCCAACAACAAATATGTACATCGGCAACGATGATAAGAGATGAACAGATACCTGCTAGATGTATATATTTCAACAGCAGTAGTGATGGCATTATCATCATCAGTTGTCCGAGTGCTGAAACAAATACCAGGCCTGTCTAAATACTGCAACCATATAAGTGGATTTGAACGCTTCAGTAAAAAGGGTTCAACTTTATGCAATGCAATTTTGTGCTCGGACAGCTAAAAGAGTAAAAGAGTAAACTAGATACTGAAATATATACCAAACTCAAGTATAAGATTCTTCAGGGTTTAAATCATCTTCAAACCAATATTATCATTACAAAAATGGGAAAATAGTAAAGTTGTAATAGAACAAAAAGCTGAAAGTGATGCAACCGAAGGCTGGTCGATAATTTCTTGGAATCATTTAATTAGAGCCCCCAAGATGCACCAAGGAGCAGGTGCTAGGAGGAGCTTGGGGGCACTTACAATTGCTTTTAATTTAATTTTGCCATCTATGTTATTTTCTGATTTTCTCATTTAATTAACTAAGGGCATTAATTATAGCGTAGGGTTTTTTTCTCATATTGTGAGGGTATTTTAAATGCCACAAAAAACTGTCGTTTTTCTTTGNATCAGTTGGGACAATCCCATTACTCAGAGGAGGGAGATTTAAGTTACATATATAACATTGAAACGTCCAATGCTCAGATCAAGCTATCAAACTCAAACAAATTATATGAAATTTGATTTAAAACAAAAGAATTCAAATACCCAAACAAATCAGCTTCACTGAAATTTGGAATTAAAACGTGTGTTGTATAGCTCATAATGAATCAGACAAACATTGTTGAAGAATCAGAACAAAACGTTGTAAAAGAAGAGAGAGTTGAGAAGCACATTGTATCCAAAAATCCAAGTTTTGACAGATTAGACACGAGAAACAATTTTAATTAATTCCCAAATCACAAAAAAAAAATCTCACAATCAATTCAAACTTTGGATACAATCAGAAATTGGAAAATCGAAAAATCGAAATCGAAGTTTTCAAAGAAATTGGAATTGTACTCACCAAATATTACGTGAAGGAACAACGACTAAGAATCGGTTTTTTGTGGGGTTTTGAAATCTGATTTGGAATCAAAATCGGGATGGAAATTGGAATTCTATGAAGGTAAATGGCGTTAACAAATGGATGAAATGCTTGTGAAAATGGAAGATGAGATGAGTTACATGAAGAGGAGGAGGAGATGAAGGGGGAGAAATGAGTGTGAAAATGGAAGATGAGATGTGATGGGTTGTTTGAAGAGGAGGAGGAGATGCGTTTAAAAAAAAAAAAAAACGCATTTACGACGATGAGAAATTGCGAGACGTGGTAGCCAATTTTTCGCCTCTTTTATATTGTAGTGATCTTATTTTCAACTACACAATCTTCCATAAAATAATATTACCCATAAATCGAAATTTTTTTCTTTTTTTTTCAACCACATTCCCAAAAAAAAAAAAAACACTATTCCAAACATTAAAAATGGAAAGAAATGGGGCCAAACGGGTTGTTAGTCTCTGTTTGGATATAATTTATATTCACACATTTTGTAACATTCATTATTATTTATGTTATTATTCTTATTTATAAACAATTTATAAACTTGTCGAACGGAGGCTTAATCAATTTGATTGAATAGTTTTTACTAAAGCTTGTGAAATGAAATTTCCTCCAACTGAACAATACAGGGTGATGTTGATATTTTTATGCAAATTTAGCTCCCATATTGGTAGGGATTAAAATTTAGATTTCAATTAAAATCGACAATTAATTTTAAATATATATTTTATGAAATTCGCAATTTTTTAATTACACATTTTATTAATTTTTATCAAAATTTACTAAAAATCGAATTTCAATCCCGACTGAAATTGGCTTATTTTCATATCAAAATATTAGCCCCATTAAACAAAGATATTTCTTGGCTAAGTAAGTATTTTAGTTTCACTTTTTACATATATAAAACTTAAAAGTTACTTTTCAGAAAAGTGATTTTCAGGGTTGGCGAGATGTGATCTTTAAGCTTATAAAATTTTAATTAATTATCAAATAAAAAGTTGCTTATCTCGAAGACGAAGTCAACATAATTTGACATTTCATCAGTGTAAAATTACTTAAAAGTTACTTACTAATTACACTTTTTTAAACTTAGCAAACAAGGCTTTAGTCTGAGAGATATCCTAACCAGATAATCAAAGCGTGAATCTTGGTGGGTTATGTCACGTTTATTTTGAAATTGCTTTTCATAAATAAGAATTTAAAAGAATATTTTCTTGCAGTCTTTCTTTTTTTTCAGCACACGCATGTCACTATCGTCCGTACAATCTACATTCAATACATAAAGCTCACCACCCGCAATTCATTCATTAATTCACATTATCAATCGAATCATTACGAGAAGTAAGGAGCGCAGTATAATTATTTGAATTTCTTAGATTTTATGATTGATTGTAATCATAATTTGATTTTTTTTTGTTAGGAAAATGGGGAGTTTGCGTGCGATTTTGAGCAATCCGGATGATTTGTACCCGTTGTTGAAGCTGAAAATGGCGGTAAGGCATGCGGACAAGCAAATTCCTCCGGAGCCACAATGGGGATTTTGCTACACCATGCTGCACAAGGTTTCCAGAAGTTTCGCACTTGTTATTCAACAGCTTGATACCGATCTTCGTGATGCAGTAAGCTGCTTTTGTCTTTTTATGATTGATCTTTCGCCTTTTTTTATTTTTTGTGTGTGTGTGTAATTATAGTAACAGATTTCATGTTTTGAATGCTTTTGACAAATTTTTTCGGCAATTGCATACAATTTGATCGTTGCTAGTATCTCACAGCAGTGAGTTATGATTTTGAAATTAACCAGAAGCTACCGAAGATCTAAAGGAAATTAAGCACTGCCTATTTCCCATTGTTTCAACTGCAAAAACTGCTGTTAGAATAAGGACTCTTTTAATTATTAAAATTAATCGAAGAACCAGTTTCTTCTCATTTGTGGTGTATGTAATATCTGCGTGTCCAAAAGGTGTTGAAATTGAAGTAAAGATTGTTAACAATAGTATGTTGCAGCAGGCATTGATTTGAATATGTGTTATGTTGTATTCTTGCGGTGATGATGATTTTATTATTGACTAGGCTGTAATTTGGTGATTATTACCAAACTTTCCATGAGTTCTCTGATGCAATTATTATTTTGTGGATTAATTGTACAGACTTGAGTGGTGTATCATCATATCGTATTTGCCTTTTCATATATCTCTCCACGCACGGATTAGTTTTCATGTGTTATTAATCAAATTTGGCAGGTATGCATTTTCTACTTGGTTCTTCGAGCACTTGACACAGTTGGTATGCTCTACTTCATTAAATTTCCTTTATTTCAATTTTCATCCACATTTGACTTTCATCTAAGTCATTACTTGCAGAAATTCCAAGTTTATCAATCGAATAATTGTTAAACTGCTATCACAGATCTCCTTCCTGGTCTTACTGGTTCCAGAATATTATTTCCCACTGAAACTGTGCTAGCTTAGCTATCTTAATCACTTTTGTGTTATTCTTGTTGCAGAGGATGATACAAGCATAGCCACAGAGGTTAAAGTACCCATCTTGATGGCTTTTCATCAACACGTTTATGATCGCGAGTGGCATTTTTCATGTGGGTTTGAGTTTCTATTTTCCTAATCCAACATATAATACTCTAGACTAGTTGCCTAATCCAGGTTATACTTCTCAAAAGGTGGCACAAAGGACTACAAAGTTCTAATGGACGAGTATCATCATGTTTCGACTGCTTTTCTGGAGCTTGGAAGAAGGTTTTCCTTAACTAACAATTATTATTTTTGTGGTATTACTAGGCCCTTGTTTGAGCCCTATTTTTCATAAAAATGGATTTTGTAATAGTGATTTTATGGAGAATGTGTGGTTAAAAAGTAGGAAAAGTTATGGGTTTACGTGCAAATTATTTTATTGGGAGAATGTGTGATTAAAAATGAGTTTGTGAAAAAATGATTTTTGAATATTGGGGCTCAAACAAAGGCTAAATTTTAATATGATCTTGTTGGTGTTCAATAAGATTATTTGTGTAGCATCCACTCATAAAAATAAGGACAACTAAGCCTTATCCTAATAAACTTGAGGTCAACTGTGTGAATGATTTTGCCATTCTATTTGATCCAAGCTACGTCTTATAAAAGGTCCACTTAACAATTAATGATATTATGATAGATAATTGTTGCTGAATATTTCAAGTGACCAGTTTGTCAAGCATGGATCTTGTTGCATGGGCTTTAGAAAGAAACTTTATTGATAACTATAAAGCCCTTTAGGTATTCAAAACCCACCATGACATTTCGATACGAGGTATGATTTTTGGTAAAAGTTGGTCCTAGAACTTCAGATAAATGGTGCAAACAGATTAACTGGAAAAAAAAGTTGCGTAAGAGCAAATGAAATCCTTTCTAGATGTCTACGTGGCTATGCCTATATGGAGAAAAACAAAAGAAATGTTTTTCGGTTATTTCTCTCTTAATTATTTAAATCTAATGCTTAGGTACTTTAAAACTTTGAATATTTGATATTGACGTCTAATGAGTATCCTGAATTGACCATGGAGATTTATCATATTTAGTTGTTCTGCTGGTTATTTGATCAATATTTTGGACCATGGAGTCTGAAAGCAAAAGATTTCGAGTGCATATGCTAAATATATCGCTTTTTTCGTTGATATTTGGGTGCCCCTTGGTGCGTCTTTCCAATGTTAATAACTTCAACAACTAAAACTTCTCATATCTCAATATTTAAAACATGTAGAGTTTAAAACCACATAGTTTGGCTAACAAAAGATCGCATATTAAATGTTTGTTATTTGTCAAGTTTACATTGACCAATAACTAGTTCTATATATACAATATGCACATCTCTGCAATTGCAAGATAACTCTTGTTCCTTTTTTGCAGTTATCAGGAGGCTATTGAGGAAATTACCATGAGGATGGGTGCAGGAATGGCAAAATTTATATGCAAGGAGGTACGTTTCAAACATCATGCTTGCGGTAGTTTATCAGTGCTCTGGCAGAATCGTCAAATACGTGTTACTTGTTTCCTACTTAGCTTTTGATGAAATTCTTGAGATTATTTTTCGGAATCCATTTGTGTATTGCGTATCTCACTATATTTTCAGCACTGTAATTCCTCCACAATATTACATGGCTCTCATCCAAATCTTTTCAGTTATCGTACACATTAACTAAAAGATGACAGATTACATAATTAATAGATAGTTTGGTGATGAATAATATTCCAGGGTTCTGACTTCTAATTTACCTTTGTGCAAGACAAGTGAAATCTCTTAGGTAATGCCAACTTTTTTGTCTTTCCAGGTGGAAACAGTGGGTGACTATGATGAATACTGTCACTATGTAGCTGGACTTGTTGGATTAGGGTTGTCGAAGCTATTTCATGCTTCTGGAAAGGAAGATCTAGCTTCTGATGCTCTCTCCAACTCAATGGGTTTATTTCTTCAGGTACTGCTTTTAAGTTTTAGTACATATAGCAACAAAAGCAGTATTCACTATTTATCTTATGAGATCTCTGTATTTTAAACAGCGAGGCCCTTATTTTTTCTTTTCAATAATTGCAGAAAACAAACATTATCAGAGACTATTTGGAAGATATAAACGAGATACCAAAGTCACGTATGTTTTGGCCTCGCCAGATTTGGAGCAAATATGTTAACAGACTTGAGGTACATCTTCTCATGCTTCATCATAAATTTTGCGTCTTCTTTTAATCAATCATCTTAAATTTCTCTTTGGGTATAAATTCAGCATTATTTCAAAAAGAGCAAGTTGTGTATTTGACAGTTATACTTAATTTTATCTACTACAGGACTTAAAAGATGAGGAGAACTCAGTCAAGGCTGTACAGTGCCTTAATGACATGGTCACAAATGCTTTGACACATGCTGAAGATTGTCTAACGTACATGGCTGCATTGCGAGATCCAGCTATCTTTCGCTTTTGTGTGATTCCACAGGTAGATTTGTTTGTATATCAATTTTCAGATATTTTGGTCCTCTCATACACACTTTATTTTTCTGTCTACAAACTCTGTAATGGAACTCTCTGTGATGATGGATGCCAGAGCAAAAATACACTGAATGTTTCTCTCGAAGTTTCCCTTCTATGTTTGCAGTGCGTCTTTCTATTGAATTGTCTTGTTCAATTTTCCAAGTGTCACCAGCAAAAATAGGAAAGTACAATCCCACAGCATGTTTGATGTGTTCTAATCCTGCATCATGATTCGCATCCAACTAAAATGATGAATCTGATTTGGTCTTTCCTAATACTACAAGATCATGGCAATTGGGACATTAGCTCTGTGCTACAATAATATTCAAGTCTTCAGAGGTGTCGTCAAAATGAGACGTGGTAAGATGAATATGCTCTTCTTGCCACATATTTGAATTGTCTATTTTGATGGTCACTCATGGTTTCATCATTTGGTTGGTATGTAACTAGTATACACGCATAAAATGGTGCATGGTCTGTGATGGTGGTACATAGAAGGTTTGGGGGTGGTGGTAACAATCTTGGGAATTTGTAGTTGTTTTGATGGTTTGGGGTGGGTTCGCAGCGGTAGTAATTGTTGACATGTGATGGTGTGCACAGAGACTAGAAGGTCAGAACTGAGATATTTTCCATTTCTTATTTTTTCATACAATTTGAATTGCCCACTTGACTATGTAAATATAGAAAATAATGGCACTCGATCCTTACCTATTAGAATCAGTTGTTATTTGAAAGTAGGAAGAGCAACAATCATTGACTCAAGTTCAATTATCGACTTCCATAAAGTATTTCCCGCAGTAGCTCTGAAAATGACCTCAACAATGATAATTTGTCCCTTGTAGTGATGCTAAACTTTTTATATAGGGTCTTGGCCTGACTAGATCTCTGATGCTAAAAGAACTCCTTAGCTACTAAACCCTTTAATTAAATTGCCTGACATAAAAGTAGGAATATTTGCATCCCAAAACTTCATATTGTGGTCTGATTTCTTCTATGTTTGGTCTTCATCCTGGAATATCTCCCTCCTCTATCTTGTTCCCCGTACATGCAATTTGAATATATTTGTGTTATATTTCATATTTTATATCTTGTACCATTATATTTAATGCTTATTTCTTTTCTGTCTTGGTGTATTCTTCCTAGGTCTTACTGCTAGAGTTATTCATGGAACCAAAACAATGTCAGATGTGTATGGAGCTTTTTACGACTTCTCTCGAATGCTGAAATCCAAGGTATGATGCTTCTATTGTATACCAAGCGAACCTGTGTTGCTGGTAGGAATGCACTCCATTGTGATGTTATAGACTTGTGTAGTGGTGTGATGTTACACTCTGCCATTTGCATAGATGTATGCTCGTTTCCACTGTACAACATGGCAACATATGGTGCCACTTAATAGGTAGTCCAGTCCATGGTAAAGCATAATACCATACATATGAATAAATACATGCTTGACCCAGCTTAAAAAAATTATTTATAAGTAAATGAGCAAGTTTTTAGTCTTTTTTGGGTAAAAGTTGGAAATGAGTAACGTTTTTTGCTTATAAATAATAAAATAACAAATATGTAACTTACCCAAATGGGTTTGAAAACTCTTAAAAGTAAGTGTTTACTTTAAGCTTTTAGCCAAACATGCTCTTAAGAAAGTCTCTCTCCCATTAACATTCTTGATTGCATCTTTTCTCTCTTTTCATAGACTTCCTTCAAGCATTGGATGTTGAAGCCTTAAATATATCAAATGAGCTAAGCATATGTGAATTTTTTTGATCAATATGCCAAATAAGATTAACATTTAACTACTATGAATTCAATTGGATATGATGACTCTCCAACAATTCATTACTACGTAAAAAATTTCAAACTGCAGAATTTTTGCGTATGAATTATTGGAGACCTATTCTCATAGTAGAAACCTTTGTGTTAGACTAGATGGTATTAAGAGTTGTTTGGAGATTCCCCAAGTGTTTTTTTAAACTCCAGGAGACAAGATTTTACGCATAAAATTCTACCTGACCTCTAAAATTACCATTTCCTTTTCTAGCATTTTTATTTGGCACCTATGCCTACAACTGAAAGTGGAAACATTGGTGTCCGTTGTTTAGCCCCTGTTTGATTTAGCCAAAGAGGTTGCTAAAAATTTAAGTCACGGTCCACACATTTAATGAGATCAACAACTTTTATCAAAATCTATTAAAAATCCGATTTTAACAAAACCAAACAGGGGCTTAATGACTTTTCTTTGGACGCACATTCAAAATTTAGTCATGAGTCTTACTCTTTCTGTCTCCATATGACTTTTCCGCGCATGGATATTTAAAATTTAGTTACTAGAGTCTTATTTTCACTTGTGCCCATTTTTGTAGGTTGACGACAATGATCCCAATGCTAGAAAAACTAAGGACCAGCTAGAAGCAATCTTAAAAACCTGCAGGGAATCTGGAACCTTAAACGAAAGGTAGGGTTTTGCTTCTTCATTTTTCAGTTGTACACTATGGGCAATTTTTTTCAATGTTTTGCTAACGTTTCTGGATTTGACGAGGAAATCTTACATAATTAGGTCCAAGCCTAAATACAATTCAACTTCAGTGAGTGTTCACGACCTCTCTCTATTTGTTTTTTCTTCAACCAGACCAGACTTGTTTTACTGATATTTTACCATTCCAATTTCACCGCAGATCATTGTCATCTTCATCGTACTCACTGTTCTTCTTGCTTGCTTGTCTTCAACTCGTCCAATATAATGTGTAAGTTTTTGAAGAAGATCGAATAATTGCTACACGGAAATGATTCTCTAACCTTGCTGATATGCTATTTTTCTTACCCCACAGGATCTGTTTCTAGTTTCCAAGGGAAAGCTTGTCTAGCTATAGAAGCAAATGGCTGGGATAAAAAATCGGAAAATTCTTGTGGTGCATTATGGGATCCATAATGGACACATTGCGGCCTACATTGTGTTTGCTTCAACACTAATGATGCAAATATGCTCATTTACTCAGTACGTATATGTATATAGGGAGGGGTGATTTTTTAGGACAATTCTTGTGGACCGGCACTCCAACCAATTGTATGCCGCAAAGTGTCCATTATGTAGACCCTTATGGATCCCATAATGTACCACAAGAATTGTCC